ACATTCGTCATGCCTTGTGATCACCTGCGTCTTTTGATCAACTTTCCTGCCCGTGGGTTTTTTCCACATGAAAAATCCCACTTCCCCAAAGCAAAGGGCAGACGCTGACTTCTCTCATGCTTGTGACCAAGGTATGGGCGGCTGAGGTTCCTCGTCAGAGGCACCCATGAGAGACTATGGTTTGGAAAAGAGCAACTGAGGACAGGGGAGGGGCCTGGGGCGTCCTGCAGTCTGCGTCAGGTCAGCGAGGGGTAGGTGAGACCAGCTGCAGAATGTCTGTGGTTTTGCTTCTTTTTTGAGTCAAGTTCTCACTATGTAGTTCAGGCTGGCCTCAAACGCACTCCCTATGTCACCCAAGCTGGTTTTAAACTCCGGGTGATCCTCCTGCCTCAGCGCCCCGAGAGCTGGGATTACAGATGCAATCCCAGCCAGGTTCTGTTTCCCCTTTGGCAGAGTCTCCCCACTGCTGTCCTCCTCTGACCCAAGGTGTTCAAATGGCCCCTGGTCATCTGGGAATCAATCCTTCAATCAAATAAATAAATACATGCACACACATAGACAAACGCGCACAGGCCGCGGCCCCACCCCTCAGCTACCTCACGCACTGGACACAGGCCCATGGAAAGGCCCCTGAAGAACTGCAGCTGGGCAGCTGGACATGGTGGTGCCCACTTGTAGTCCCAGCATGGGGAGGCTGAGGCAGCAGGATTGCCAGGAGCTCTAGGCCAGCCTGGGAAACCCAGGGAGACCCTGTCTCAGAAAACAACCCCCTCCCCATACTACTGCAAAATGACCTGTGCAAGGGACTTGGCTGGTCCCGAGGCTCTCAGGGGAATGGAAGGGGTCGCCTCGGTCTGCAAACCGGGCCTGGCCCAGCCGTGCTCCCTGCAGCTGGTAGTGCGGTGGGGTGGACGGGTGGAGAGGAGGGGTTCCTGCCCTCGGGTTTAGGAGCTGGCAGGGATCTTGGGGTGCGCCTTCTGCCCCCAGATGTGGGCTGCATTAGTATTATTATCATTCTGTTTGGTTTTTTTGAGTCAGGGTTTTGCCTTGTCCCCCTGGCTGGCCTGGAACTCTCTAAGATCCCCGAGAGCCTCCTGTTTCAGCCTCCTGAGTTCTGAGTTCTGGGATGACAGGTGTGCACCACCACGCCCCCAGCCCTGGGTCGGTGAAGTGAGTGTCTCAGGGTGCTCCAGCTCCTCACGGTTAGGTGCGAGATTTCTCCTCATGGTCCCTGGAACTGTTTGCCTCCCATCTCCTCCTGCCACTTCCAGCCCTTGACCTGACTGCTTGACCTTTGAACCCTAACCTCCCACTCACTTGGGTTTGCTTTCCTGACTGATTACAAATAAACAAATACAAGCTATACTGGGTGGCGCACACCTGCAATCCTGGCGCTTGGGAGGCTGAGGCAGGAGGATCCTTGTGCGTTAGAGGGAGGCCAGCCTGAACTACCTAGCCAGATCCTGTCTCCAAACCAAAAAAAGAAAGAAAGAAGATAGAAAGAGAGAAAGGGAACAGAAAATGTTGGGCTGGACCGGGCCCACCGTAGATGTAGCACTCCAGGGTGGGCCTATGAATTTACCCTAAGATGTAGGTGACTGAGCTGGCCAGAGGGCCCCTGGGTGCGGGCAGCAGAAGTGTCCTGGTTCTCCCAGAAGAGTGACCACACGCAGCTGTGGCTCCGGGAGGGTCACAGGTGGGAGGAGACAGAGGGAAGGGGTGTCACCCTGGAACAGCTCCCGGGGTCACTCTGGGTGGGCCTGCTGGTTTCCATTTAGAACTCAGGGTTCCTTGGGCAGAAAGAGCCCCGAGTGTGTGCCTGGGGGGCCCCACCAGCCCCTGTGGGGGGCTGCAGGGTGTCCTGCGGCTTCCCATCCGGGTTACCAGGTCAGGCATCGCCCGGGCAGGTGGTGTCTGGAGCCCAGCTGGCCGCACAGCCCAGCGTCCCCTCGTGTGTGTGGTTTGCTTTGGCTTCTGACTTTGCAGCCGGCAGATGATGGTGGCCAAAGTCAGGGGCCAGGTGTCGTCCGTGCTGTGCGGTCTGGGCCGCTGTGCTCCGCACCTGTCTCCAGGCTCCGGGGCAGTCTTGTCCCTGGTGGACTGGGAACCCAGGGCTGTGGCCAGGGGGCCCTGAATCCTTCCCTAGGTCCCCCAAGGACACTCTCAGAACTGCAGAGCTTCCCAGAACCCCCTCTGCCCCTCCTGGGCTGCTCCTGGGAGCTAGCAGAGGAAGGTAGGCTGGAGACAGCCGAGCTGGGGCACAGGGGCCGCAGAGGCCAGGCTCACAGTTCTGTCCCAAAGGGACCTAGCTTTCTTTCAATTTCTTCTTTTTTTTTTTCTTTTTGGTCTTTTTGAGACAGGGTCTCACTATGCAGTTCAGGCTGGTCTTGAGCTCACTTTGTAGCCCAGGCTGGTCTCGAACTCGCAACAATCCTCTTGCCGTAGCCACTCAAGTGCTGGGATTACAGGCATGAGCCACTAATTTCTTACAATTTCATTTTACACAGTCAAAATTCTAACGGTAAAGAACCTATTAGATTCAACTCAGTGGGGAGATGTGTGTTTGCCATCTCAGCATTGGGAGGCTGAGGCAGGAGAATCCCAGGAGTTCGAGACCAGCCTGGGCTACAAAGTGAGCTCAGAGCCAGCCTGCACTGCATAGTGAGACCCTGTCTCAAAAGAGACAAAAAAAAAAAAAAAAAAAATTCTTTCCCACACCTACCTCCAGCCACTTCCCCTCTCAAAGGGAACCTGAGTTAGTTTCCTACGTGACCCGGGGATGGGAGTTGTGCAAGTAAGGTGTTCATGTTTATCAGAGTCCTGTTTAAAAATTCAAACTGTAGCCCATCACCCAGCAGATAAAGGACCTGGCAGTTTTCAACAAATATACTTTATCAATATATAAATAACATCCTGGATTATATTTCAACCGAGAATTATTCCATTCTAAGGACAGACACTGGCCAGCCCCTTACGGATGGACTTTTAGGGTTTTTTCCTCAGCTATTTTTGAGACAGTGTTTCGCTATGTCGTCCAGGCTGACCTGGAACTCCGGAGATCCTCCTGCCTCAGCCTCCTGAATGTACTCTGACAGGAGTGTGCCACCTTGCCCGGCAGGTCAGTGTCTTGAGATGGTCATTCTGCAGCCTCTGTGGTAGCCCTCTGTGGTCTGCAGACCTCTGTATCTGTATTGGAATTTCTAACACAAACCACAAAGTAGGCCATGTTCAAAGCTGCCCTCTGCCACGGTACCACAGAATTCACTACAGATCCTTGGGTTGGCAGAGTAGAGTTTAAAACCCCACACATGTTTGGCGTGGTGGCGCCCACCTGTCATCCAGAACTCAGGAGGCGGAGGCAGGAAGATCACTGTGACTTTGAGTCCAGCCTGGGCCACAGTGAGACCCTGGCTCAAAAAAAAATGGGGATAAGGGGCTGGGGATTTAGCTCAGCGGCATAAGCACCTGCCTTGCAAGCAGGCAGTCGTGAGTTCGATCCCTGGTACCGATAAAAACGAAAAAGACAAAAAAAAAAAAAAATGGGGATAAATTCTGAGCATGCGACGAGGTGGACAGACCTGACGGACATGCGGCCTGGTGAAATCAGCCCCACGCAGGAGAGCAAATCTCACCAGCTTCCGTTCACACGCATGTCACAGCTGTCAGCTGCACAGAAGCAGGAAGTGTGATGGATTGCCGGGGCCAGGGGAGAGGAGTGGGGGGCTCTTGTCTGTGGGTGCAAAGTTTCAGTGTGGGAAATGGAAAAGCTTCCGTGCAGCCATGTGAACACCCTGAAATGGAAACCTAGAAATGGTTCCCGTAGGGCTTTCTTCTGCTTCTGGGGCCGGAACCCAGGGCCTGCACACCGAGCTGCAGCCGGGTCCCATTTTTTTGTTTGATTATTTATGAGGCCCTCCCCACCCTGTCTTTTTTTTTTTTTTTTTGGTCTTTTTTTGTTTGTATTGGTACCAGGGATCGAACTCACGACTGCCTCCTTGCAAGGCAAGGTGCTTACGCCACTGAGCTAAATCCCCAGCCCCACACTCTGTCTTTTTTGAGACGGGGTCTCACTATGCAGTTCAGGCTGGCCTGGAGCTCACTTTGTGGCCCAGGCTGGTCTCTGATTTGCCACGGTCCTCCGGCCTCAGTGCTGGGATTGCAGGCCTGCACTACCATGCCCGACTCAAGGCAGGGTCTCTCTAATTCACTAAGTTGCCTGGGATTGTGTCTGAATTTGGAATCCTCCTGCCTCAGCCTCCCAGAGTATTGGCATGATAGGCATGTGCCTCCCCACACCGTGGCAGGGCTTATTCTCTGCCTGCTTTCCGTGGTGCAGAAGGGCTGTGGGCAGCGGCTGGTCTGGTGTGGGAGCCTCGAGGCTCCAGGAGCTGACCAGTGGGCTCAGCCTGCTGGAGCCAGGCAGGGACAGGCCAGCAGGCCAGCACGATGGGGAGCCTTGAGTTCTGAATTCAAGGTCCTTGCTGGGTGGCCCTTGGCATCAGGCCTTGGTCTCAGAGCAAAGAGAACCATTTCCAGGGGTGGGAAGGTCCAGGGGTGCAGAGCTGGTGTGTAAAGTTGGCTGTCAGCCAATAAGAAAGTGGGTTTGTCACCCAACAGTGGGAACAGGTGGCAGGGCAGGCCAATGTGTAAGGCCCCTTCTCCTTCCTTCCCTTTTTCTTTCTTTCTCTCTCTCTCTCTCTCTCTCTCTCTCTCTCTCTCTCTTTCTTTCTTTCCTCTTAGTCCAGGCTGGCCTTGACTTTGTGGGGATCCTCTTGCCTCAGCCTCCCAAACACTAAGATTACAGGCCTGCCCCACTGCGCCGGGCAGCTGTAGGTATTTCAGGTCATACTTTTACGAGTTAAGCCTTCTGCTGTCCTGGCCTTAGCCCTCCCAGCTGCCTGTGTGTGGTTTGTGGCTGCACCTGGGAGCTCATGGGGGGGGGGGGACCGCTTCCCCCTGCACGGAGCTCTGACAGAGAGAGAAGGTGGTTGAGTGTTGGGTTTATTTACACCCTGACCACATCACCCAGGATCTCGGGCAGCTGAGGACAGCACAAGGCCACCAGCCCGGTGCCCTGGGCTGGGACACAAAGGTTGGCATGCAGGCTGGATGAGTCAGGAGTGGAGCGAGGCCAGTGCAGGGGCTCTGGGGCCCAGATGGGAGCAGAGGAGGCGGAAGTGGGGTGCTGTGGGGAGGTCAAAGTTCAAGGCCATGTGCAATGGGCCATTGAGCCACGCCAAGGCCCAGGAAGTCCCCATTCCTCCGGGCAGCACGTTGGTATCCGACCTGTTTGATGGAGGAGGCCCCATGCCCTTCTGCCCTCTGGTACAAATTCCAGTCCGGCTAATGGGCTGCAATTAAAGGAGAATGCAGCCGGGTGCAGGCGCCAACCGGCATCTCAGACAAGGACTTTATGCATTGCAGGCTGGCCTTGAGTTTGCTTAGGTGGCCCAAGCCGGCCTCAAACTCACAGTGATTCTCCTGCTTCAGCCTCCCCAGTGCTGGGATTATAGACACGTGCCACCACCACGCTGTCAGGAGATGATGGATTCTTGAGGGGGTGAATCAGAGTTTAAAAAATTGTTTGCTGAATTCACTATGTGCTAAGCTCATTCCTGGGGTTTAAAGAAAAACCAACCATATCAGAGCGATTTTGACTTAAGACTCTGAGAGACCTACCACAGGGGGGGTAGGGAGCCATGCTCAGCTGGGCAGCTTTTTATGGATCAGTTTGAGATTAATATATGATCGTAAATAGATTTTGCTTTTAATTTCAGATATAACAGATTTACAGCAAAGTGCGTACATTGTCACGGCACAGCTTGGTGAATTTTTACACCGGTACAAACCTGTGTGACCTCCACCCATCGCATTAAGGGACATTCTCACGGTCCAGGGTCCCCGCCTGCAGGAGACTGTTATCCTGACTTCACTAGCATCCCAGAGCTTTCCTGGTCTTGTTTTTAGTACTGGGGATGGAGACCAAGGCCTTCTCTCTGAGCACCACCCTCGGCCCTTTTTATTCTTTGAGACACAGGCTTGCTAAATCACTGAACTGCTCAGGCTGAGTTTGGACTTGAGATCCTCCTGCCTCAGCCTTCTAGAGTCTGGGGGCACAGGCATGCACCACCACTCCTGGCTGGGGTTGGGGATATTAAAACTGAGATCTGTTAGTTCCTGGAGAACCTCTGCTTCGCCATGACCTCGCTGGCCGTGGGGGCACAGAGCTGGCCGTCTTCGGGGTGCATGATGGGCGGGGCCTTGCCCGGGCCCTCCCAGGACCAGTGTGAGAGCCCCGCCTAGCAGGCATGCCTGTGCTGTGTGTGCGTTTCTCTGTGTTTTTTGGTTTTTCCCCACTGAGGCATTTTTTGTGTCCATTTCTCATCTCTGGAATAAGAGCCCCAGGATCTCCTCCCTCCTGTGTGTTTCCCTCATGTTCCTTTGTGGCTCGGGATGGCCCGGGGACAGCAGGGGACAGATAGCTCTTGGGTCGTTCAGCTGAGATCAAAGCCCGGCTGCTCCCTTGGCTGGTCAGACCTGCCAGTGAGGTTCACGGCCTCCCACCCTGTGATGTCAGCGACCTGGACTCCGCCCTGGGACCTGCGGAGTCACCACAGGTGGAAGCCGGACACTGGCTGTGGAGCCTGGCGTGGGCAGGGCTGATGCAGAGGTCCCAGGAGGCCTGGATCCCCTGCACAGCCCAAGGCCGAGTCTCAGACTGGGTGGCACTGACAGCTGGCAGTGGAAGATGGAAACTTCAGAGTCACTCGCCAGCCTGGGATCTCTACTTTGGCTTAGATATTTTTCCCCACTGCTTGATTGGAGATGGAGTCTCACTGTGTAGCCCATGCTGGCCTTGAAGGTGTGGGGTCTTCCTGCTTCAGCCTCCCAAGTGCTGGGATGAGAGGTGTGTGCCGGCACACCTGGAAGATTTTTCCAAATCATCCTACCGCCCCCGAGAGAGAGCTAGAAGAGACGGAGATCAGTGGGGATGGAGGCGGGGAAGACGGGCGGGGGGAGAAAGCATGCAGCCCCTGCAGAGGGCTGGGGGAGACCCCGTGGGGCTGTGCTTGGCGGGCCCTGGGGCTCGGGCAGGGAGGCCCCTGGTCCTGTGTGCTTGGAGGCTCAGGGCTCTGTTTCTTTCCTCTCCTCCCCAGGCCGCACAGAGAGCGAGAAGTGACCTCGGCCCCCCAGCACCCGTGGGCGCCAGAGCGTCGGGCTCTTCCTTCTCCCCCCAGTCGGATCCCAGGTCCTAGACCCCTTGCCGATGCCCAGTGGGGGAAGGGAGGTGGGTTTGGGGATTTTTGCTGTGCCTGGCCTTGAACCCACAGTGTAGGTACTCCAAGCCCTTCTGCCTCAGCCTTCTGAGTCCCGGTCTCCAAAGTGGGTGCCGTCGCCAGCAGCCCTCAGTGCGGATCCCGGGGTCCGCCAAGGTTGCCCCTCAGTCCTGTGAGCTTGGGCCCCGTCCGAAGCCTCAGCTTGCCCATCTGTAGAATGAGTTCCATCAGCCTGCTGCTCCCGACCTCCCCAGGGTGCTGGGGAGCCAGGGCCAGGCCAGGAGGGGCAGCACAGGTGGGTCCCCAGCTCGGGCTCTGCACATGACCCTCGCCTTGTGCTGCATCGGGGTGCTCCTGGCTTTGCTCACTGTTAGAAAGAGTGGAGACCCCGGAGGGGTCACAGCCTGGCTCTTTGGAGGGTGAGTGCTGTTCCCAGGAGCCCTGGTGGCCACCTCGGAGGTTCTCTGGGGGGCAGGGGATGCTCGGGGGTGGGGGCACAGAGGGTCCAGGACCCCGCCCCACCCTTCCGTGGCAGTGGTAAAGACATCTTCCCCCATCCATGGTGTGGACCAGGAATTGGCGCAAGAGCCACGGAGTCCGAGATCCTGGCAGTTACCTGGGCACAACCGATTTTGCAGGACAAGACAGGGTGGGGGGTGGGGCTACGGAGTTGCCTGTGATGACTGCCAGCAGGCAGCCACCAAAGAGGCCGAGGCGCATGGTGAGTGGCCGTGGTGCTTGCTGCCACCCCTCCAGAGGGCCCTGAGTCCCAGTACCTGGGCAGCACAGTGTGCTCAGGAGGTTGGAGGCTCCCAGTCCTCCAGGAGAGGTGTGGGGCATCCACAGCTGGTCATGAGGGTGCCCTGAGCAGGTACTGGGCAGTGGGGAGGCTCGGGCTCTGGGTCCAGGTGAGTGTAAGTCAGGTGGGGGTGCTGTGAGGCCACAGGTGACTTCTCTATTTCCGCTTTTTGTCTTATTTGGGTTTTCTGAAACTTTCCTTGTAGCATATAGCTTTTTTCCCTCCTTTGGCAGTACTGGGGATTGAACCCAGGGCTTTTGTGTTAGCTACACCCCACCCTTATTTATTTATTTATTTGGAAAAGGTCTCTCTATGTAGCCCAGGCTGGCCTTACACTCATGGCGATCCTCCTGCCTCAGCCTCCCGAGTGCTGAGATAATTCTATGATTAGTGAATAAACACACACACACACACACACACACACACACACACACACACACACACTGGAGAGCCCCTGCAGCCATTAAGAAAGGCCCGGGGCAGCTGCGGGCACTCCTCTGCGAGGCCAGGCCTTATTTGGGCAGAGCTGTGGCAGATTCCAGCAGGCGCCCTCCCGGCCCCGCCCCCAGCGCTGGTGCCCGGCCAGCTGCGGCCGGGCTGCTCCCTCCCACCGCCCGTCTTTGGTAGCCGCAGCCGCTGGCCGGGGCCAGTCCACACATCTGGACCTCGTTAGAGGCGGCCGGCACCAAAGCCGACACATCTGGCCGCGGCAAGACAAAAGTGCGCTTCGGGGCGCAGGGGGAAAGGGGCGCGTCAGGACAGCGCGGGCCACATCTGGGAGCTGGCGGGCTGGTCCCGGGTCCCAGGGATGGCCCTGCTGCACCCCTCTGGCTGGGAGCCTCTGTCACTGGAGGCCTCTATGGCAGGCGTGGGGAACAAAGGCAAACTCAGGTCCCACGCACAGTGCCCTCAGCCTGGGGGGCCTTCAGCCCCGTCTGGGCAGCAGCTCCCAGGAGGGCAGGCTCCGACCACAGAAGGAGAATCCTGTTTGCTTTTGAGGCAGGATCTCTTTAAGTCACTAAATTCCCCAGGATGGGGAAGAACTGGACACCCTCCTGCCTCAGCCTCCCAGAGTGCTTGGGTCAGGTGCTCACTGCGGTGCCCATGGTTGAGCGGGGAGGGAGGACGTAAAGGAGACCTGTTGGGCACAGAGGACGCAGCTGCTGTCCTCGCCCTGGGTCCCCTCTCACTCCCGTGCTGCCATTACTTGTCCCTCTAGAAGGCTGAGGTCCTGGGGCTGAGTGGCTGTGGCAGCCAGTGGTGTTTGTCCAGAGGATCTGGGCAAAGCTGGGAGCCCATCCCGGTGAAGCCAGGGCGCAGGTTCTGCCCACAAAGCTCACGGACCCTGCTTTCCTGCTGTGTTGAATCCAACCCCTTGAGCCAGACTCCTGGAGTGTAAGATAAGGATGATCCACAAGTACTTTAAGTTCTGTAGGAAAAATACACAAGCTCTGTGCCAGATGTTGGCACCTCCCAGTAATCTCGGGAATCAGGAGGCTGAGGCAAGAGGATCCCAAATTCGAGGCCAGCCTGGGCTGCGTAACAAGACCCTATCTCAAGAAACATTAGTAAAAACAAAAACACAAGATTGTACAGTTCTCTGGTACAAATGTAGTGTAACTACATACATAATTTGGAGAGAGGGTTTTCCATTTTCATTGGGATTAATTTTTTTTTAGACAGGATCTTGCTGGGCCATTCAGGCTGAGTTTGAACTTACCATCTCAGGCTGGCCTTGAACTTGCAGCGATCCTCCTGCCTCAGCCTCCCAAGTGCTGGTATTACAGGTGTGTGCCACAAACCTCGAGGAAAAATATTGATTTATAGAGAAGTTGCAATGATATTTCAGAGTTCCAGTAAACTCCTCACCCAAGTGCCCTAAGGTCAGTGACTAGCGTAACCACGGTACAGCTGCCAAAACTAAGAAATTAACGCTGGCACAGTGCGACTGACAAGACGGCAGACAGGCTGAGGGTTCCACCGGTTTTTCCAACACATATACGCTTGAAATTTTTCTTTTTCTTAAGACAGGGTCTTGCTGTGTAGTACAGGCTGGCCTCAGACTCATCAGGCTGCCCTTGAACTCCAGGCGATCCTCCTGCCTCAGCCTCCTGAGTGCTGGGATCTGAGGTGTGCGTCCCTGTGCCCAGCCGAGAGCTGATTTTCTAGTTACAGAGGGCGGGAGGGGCAGCTGCCGCGCGGTTGGTAGCCTTTGTGCCCACAGGTCGGACCCCTCCTCCAGCCTTGGAAACCTAATTAATCAGGGAGCCTCAGACCACCTGCGCTGGCTGATGCAGCTCCAGACTGAGGAGGCGGAGGGATCGAGGTGTCTTGGGGACATTTGTGACTCACACTTCAGTGGGGAGTCACCAGCGCACTGTGAAGAGGATACCAGTCCCCCGGGGACACTGGTTCTCGCCCTGTCCCCTCCCCCTCCCTGCCCTGCAGACCGCATGGACCCTGGATCAGCATCCAGCAAGGTCCTTCCGGGGCTGGTATCTCCTGGCCATGCTCGGCTGTCGCAGGGACACAGAACAGCTCTGGCTGGAGAGGGGAGGAGACGAGCCGGCTCTGGGCAGGGCGCTCTGTGGCCCTCAGCTCCCAGGGATCCAAACCAGGCCTGACAGCAAAGCCCTTATTTTTGTGGTAGTGGTTGTTTGTTTGTTTGTTCTGTGTTTTGAGATGAGGTTGCTATACAGTAGCCCAGGCTGGTTCTGAACTCGAGGTGATCCTCCTGCCTCAGCCTGCCAAATGCTGGGATGATAGGTGTGTGCCACCAGGCCCAGCCATCTTCTATGAAATGCAACAAACACATTTCAGGGGCTGCTGTCAGAATTGGTAAGCTGCCGAGCATGGTGGCTCATACCTGTAATCCCAGCACTCAGGAGGCTGAGGCAGGAGGATTGCTGTGAGTTTGAGACCAGCCTGGGCTACAAAGTGAGCTCAAGGCCAGCCTGAACTGCATAGAGAGACCCTGTCTCAAAAAGACCAAAAAAAAAAAAAAAAAAAAAAAAAGAATTAGCAAGCTATCCAGGTGTGGTATCCCACACGTGTAATCTTTCCTACTCAGGAGGCTGAGGCAGGAAGATCACAAGTTCAAGGCTAGTCTGGGCACTTTAGCAAGACTGTGTCCCAAAATAATCAAAATAAAAGGGTTTAGGGTATAGCTCAATGGTAGAGAGCCAGCAAGACCTGCATTCTTGGGTACCCAGGGCGGCACCTCTGTTTCACTTCTGTTACCCCGGCAGCCTGAGTGTGCCAGCTCCCCTCCTGGCCATGGCAGCGCAGCTGGACCTCGGCGGCTCCGGCTCACCCAGGACGCGGAGGCCGAGGCGCCGCAGTCTGGACAGCGACTGAACCCCACCTTCCCAACGCCCCCTCTACCCGCTCTCTCCCTTCTTGGTAGTGAGGTCCTCTCTTTCCTGCCCATAGGACCCCTGCCCTTGGGTGCCAGTTCTCTGCCCTCTGCCTCTGTCCTGTCAGTGTTCCTGGGACTTTCAAAAATATTGAACATTAGATTGTTAAAAAGAGCTGGGCCTGGTGGCGCACGCCTGTCATCCCGGGACTGGAGAGGCTGAGGCAGGAGGATCGACAGGAGTTTGAGGCCAGCCTGGGCTACACAGTGAGTTGAAGCCCAGCCAGAACAACATAGCGGGACCTTGTCTGAAAAAGAAAAAAATCTCTTAAAAAGTGCGGTGAGAGACGCACAGCCACAGATCTCCTCCCCAAATCCTCTCCTGGCTTCAAGCACCCCAGCTCCATCGTCCTCGCCACTTCCTGTAGAATCAGGAAATCCTCTCTCGTCGGGGGTCTTTAGTTGCGCTGTCCTGGCTGCCTTGATGTCCTGAGTGGATTCTGAGCATCTCCTGTCCCGGATCATCTTGACTTGGGGAAGAGCCAGAAGTCACACGGTGTCAGGTCCAGTGAGTGAGTGGACAAGGACACCATGACACCTTCAATGGACAGCAGCCGCCATAAACGGTTGTTGTCAGTGGGGTGTAATCAAAAACTACTGGCCAGGCCTGGTGACACACATCTGTAATCCCAGCACTCGGGAGGCTGAGGCAGGAGGATTGCGGCAAGTTCCAGACCAGCCTGGGCTACAACGTGAGCTCAAGGCCAGCCTGAACTGCAGAGAGACCCTGTCTCAAAGTGACAATAAGTAAATAAAAAATAAAATAAAATATAATTTAAAAAACTAAAACTACTGAGAATATTTAAATTTAAAATATATATTACAAGGGCCAGGGATTTATCTCAGCAGCACATCACCTGCCTGGCAAGCAGGAGGTCATGAGTTTGATTCCTGGTACCAAAAAAGAAAGAAAGAAAATTCAATATTACAATATTACAGTAAAAGATGAATTATAATTAATTCCTATCAAAATAATCTTCCTTGCTTCAAACACGTATATTGTTCTTGCCAATGTGTCTTTTACTATACAGGGAAAGCACAGGAGATCTGTCCACACACTAAAGACCTAGAGAATCCAAGCCAGGCGTGGTGGCACACGCCTGTAATCCCAGCACTCGGGAGGCCGAGGCGGGAGGATCGTTGGAGTTCGAGACCAGCCTGGGCTACAAAGTGAGCTCAAGGCCAGCCTGAACTGCATAATAAGACCCCGTATCAAAAAGACAAAAAAATAAAAATAAAAATAAAAGAGAATCCAGCCGAGGGCCTGGACCCTACAGCAATGTCCTGCGTGAGTCCAGCTGGAGGCCTGGAACCCATGACAATGACCCACACCAGTCCGTTTCACGGATCCGCGCTGGGCAGGCCTAAAGGTCAGCGTGGAAGCTAGGAAGTCTGTGCCCGTGGGGTGAAGGCGCTGTGCCGGCAGCTGAGGGCTGCACTGGAGCCGGGAAATGATGACCAAAATATGGACCAGAGCTCCCCCGAGGTGAACCCCAGCCATTGTCAGTGACAGCAGGTCCCCAGCTGCTCTGACCATGAGAACAGCCAGATTCATAGCAGGAAAGAAGCTCAGTGAGCTCCTCCAGGAGAATCCATGGCAGCAGGAGAACCAACAGCTCCAAACAACGGCACCACCGCTTCCCCTCCAGGTCTCCTTTTTACCTTGGAAACAAGGTCCACTCAGGTGGACCACCGCTGCCAGCACCCCGCTGATTGGGGTCAGCTGGGTCCAGGCTGGCCATCAGTCTTCAGTCCACCGCAAGACAGGCTCTCGCTATGCAGCTCAGGCTGGCCTTAAACTCATGTCCCAGGCTGGTCTTGAATTAACTGCGATCCTCCTGCCTCAGCCTCCTGCCTGCTGGGTTGGGCGCACAGCTGTGTGCCACCACGCCTGGCTGGCTTCTTTATCTGTGGAGCTGAGGACATGCTTTTGCCCTTCTGGGGCTGTGATGACAGGAGCTGCAGACCTCCCCAGGCTCCCCCCACCCCCGGCTCCCGCCCGCCACCCTCTGCTCAGGTAGCCCCCGCTGCTTTCCTGCAGTGGCCCTTGGGTTTTGGTTTTGGTTTGGTTTGCGGTTTTAGACAGTGCCTCACTCAGAAGCCCGGGCTGTCCTTAGACAGGAGATCCTCCTGCCTCAGCCTCCTGAGTGCTGGGAGTCTAAGCCTGAACCTCTTTGCCCGCCCCTGCGTTTGCTTTTTAAGTGTCCCAATGATGGGGCTGACCAGCTCCCTGAGGGCCTGTCCACTCCCGAAGGTCCCCACAGGGTGATATTGGTGCCGTACTGTCCCTCCTGAGGGTCCAGCCTGTAAGTGGCTCCCTCCGGGTCAAACCAGGCATCAACCCCATTGCAGTGGCCTGGATGCATTTTCTCTGCCAGAAGCCCCGAGTTCCTGCAGGGATGGCGGGGGCAGCTCAGCCTGGGTGTGATGGGGGCCAGGAGGTGCCGGGTGGGCACACAGCCTGCACCTGCCTGTCCTGTGTGTCGAGTGTCTGTCTCGTGCTGTTCCGTGTTCTGGGGCTGCTGCAGGCTCCCTGGGTGATCCTGTCCCCCTGCCCTCTGCCCACAGCCCTGGGTGATCTGCATTCCCCCGTGAGCTGGTTCCCACCGTGGGGTCTAATCTCATGATCTTGTATGTGTGTGGACTGACTATGTGATCACAGGCTGCCTAAGGACACTGTGTGACAGGAAACTGCCACCGGGCATCACTTCAGTGTGGACGTAGCGGGGTGTTTCTACACCTCTGTGGGTACTTTAGGTAACAGACTAGATTTTGGTTTTTATTTTTATTTTTTCATATTTTATTGTTTGAGACAGGGTCTTACTGTGCAGTGCAGGCTGGGCTTGAACTCACTATGGAGCCCAGGCTGGCCTCAAACTCACAGCCACCCTCCTGCCTCAGCCTCCCGAGGAATTACAGGTGTGGGCCACCACCTCTGGCTAAAACAGGCCTTTTGTTAAAGGTAAAGGCTGTACATCGGGGTGGTCACACGTGCTTGTCATCTAAGCACCAGAGAGGCAGAGACAGGAGGATCACAAGTGAAAGGCCAGGCTGGGCCACGTAAGTCCCCACGTCAGAGCCAAACCAGGGCCTGCACCCCCAGAGGAAGCGTCTAGAACAAGAAACCTCCTGTCCCTGGCCTTGCTGAGGGGACAGTGTGGGGTGCCTGGCACCCGGAGAGGGAGAAGCAGGGCGGCTGAGTGAGGTGGACGCGGTGTCTCCCATCGTCCAGTGGCAGGGCCTTCTGGGCAGCCTTGGTGCTGTCCTACAGAGGGAGAGGAGAGAGGGAGAGAGACAGAGACAGAGAGAGACAGAGACAGAGAGACAGAGAGACAGAGACAGAGAGACAGAGAGAGATAGAGACAGAGAGACAGAGACAGAGAGAGACAGAGACAGACAGAGACAGAGAGAGACAGAGATAGAGACAGAGAGACAGCATCAGCCTGTGTGGGGCTTTGGTTTTCTGCTGGGGACACAGATGTCACAGACCCGAGGCCCATCCCACAGTGAAGGGACCCGAGGGTCACCCTGGCCGCAGAGCGAGCTGCCTGCCCACCAGGCTGCCCCTTGGGGCCTGGGCCAGCTCATGGGCATCACATACCGGGTCTCCAGCCTGGCCTGTCTGTGCCAGCTCAGGCCTGGAGTGCCGCTCCTGGGCTGGGCCAGGCTGCTCTCAGGGCCTCCCGTGTGAGGCCAGCCCGGCGCTCCCGCCTGCGGCTGACTTGTGTTTATTTGGCGAGGGAACAAGGTCAGGCCTCGGGGCAGCGGTGACACAGCTCAAGGTCCACACAGAGCTAGGAGTCTGGAAATGTTAGACCGCGGGACCCTAAGACCGAACCTAGATGTAGTAGCACATGCCTGGAACTCGAGAGGCCGAGGCAGGAGGATCTCTGTGTGTGAGACCCTGTCTCACATAAAACAATAAACGAACACCTAAATCCACCCAAGACACCCGCGAATCAACCCTCTGGGCACTGCAGTCCCTGATGTGTCACCTCAAACATGTCCTGCTGACTTCGGAGGGCGTGATTTTGATTTTGTACTGAGGATTGTACCCGGCCTCCCCACTAGGCTGGGTCTCCAGCCCTTTGATTTATTTAGGGTCCTTTGTGTTTGTTCTGTATTCTGAGACAGCAGCTTGCTGCGCAGTCCAGTTTGGCCCTGAACTCAGAACAATCCTCCTGCCTCAGCCTCGCAGAGTGCTGGGACTGCAAGCGTGAGCCTCGACCCTTGGCAACATTTAGTCGCTTGAGGATTTGTGTCTGCCACAGAGGCACCTTTCAGCCCCAGCGACCGAGGGCTCAGGTCTCTCCACACTCACGCTTGCTGCTATGTCTTGTATTTTTCAGTGTTTTTTCCTAGTGCCCCCTCTAACAGGTACAGACTACACAGTGTCTCTCTTTTTCTTTGGTTCTGGGGATCGAACTCATGACCTCACGCTTGCCAGACAGACCCCAGTGCCGCTGAGTAAATCCCGAGCCCCACAGTGTCTCTTTTTGTGAGCCATGTGATTTGTTCCGCTGGTGGCACATAGGTGTAATCTTGGCATTCTGGGAGGCTGGGGCAAGAGGATCTCAAGTTTGAACCCAGCCTGGACAACTAAACAAGACTGTCCTTAA